TCTTGTAACTGTTACAGGGCAGGAGGAGGGGTACCCTGGTATCCCCAAACCTGCCCACTCTAAATGGGTTCTGCCTTCTGTCACATCAAGAGAAAACATATTGTAGTGTGTAAGATCGCTAATGGAAAAGTACTTTCATATAATTAGTGTGTAGTAAAGAGAAGGGAAAGAATAGATAAAATAGTTATCACATGAAACACCCAAAGTTAACTGTCCCCTTGTGGGTAAAGTCCCAGCCAAACAGGGGTGGCCCACAGCAGAACCTCTGAGGCCCAAAAGCTTGCCACAAATCTACAGAACCTTCTGGCAGGGATCCATAGGAAAGGGGCAGAAGCAGCCAGACAAGTCTGAAAGGAAAAGAGCAAAATCAAAATTAAGGTTTTCCTCTTCACCAGTCCCCACGTCTGTTTCAAATGTCTCCTTCCATGTCCAAGTCCCTGCTGCCGATAAAAGGTTAAGAAGCAAATGCAGCTTCTCCCCTCTCTCTGCAACATGTGCCTCCTGCACGTCTCCTTTTTCCTCCTGCTCTCTTTCAGTCTTGTCCAGCTTCTCTCTGTTCAGCCCCACTGTCCCTTGGGTGGGGCCAGGAACCTAGAACCGCCCCTTTCCCTGGGGCCCACCCTGTTACTTAACTACTACCAAGGTGAGGATATGGAATAGTTCCAGCAACCCCCAAAATTTCCTTATGTACTGCTGTACTTTCTCTTACAATTTTGTTTTTTCTAGCATGTCATGTAAATGGAATCGTACTACAGCATACAACGTTTTGTGTTTGGCTTCTTTTAGTGAGCAAAATTTGCTTCTCAGATTCATCTGTATTGTTGCACATTGTCAATTTTTCCTTTTTAAATTGCTGATTAGTGGCCTTTGTGTAGATATGCCACACTTTGTTTATCCATTTGCCAGTTAATCAGGACATTTGGGCTCTTTGTAGTTTTAGGCTATTAGGAATAAGGTTGCTAAGAACTTTCATGCCCAAGTATTTGTATGGGCATAAGTTTTCTGGGGTAAATTCTACGAAGGATAATTGCAGGATGTTTTGTGCTACTTTTGTTATAGGACAGGGAGAGGGGCAGCCCAAACCCTGCAAACCTGCCTATTCTAAATGGGTTCTGCCATCCGCCGCATCAACACAAAACATAGGAGACTTTAATGGGAAGGAACTTTAATAAAACTAGGAAACAATACAGGTAAGTCAAAGAGTCTAGTTTCTAAATGAAGCACCCAAAGTTACCCGTCCCCTCGTGGGTAAAAGTCCATCCATATGGGATCGGCCCAGAGCAAGGCCCCAAAGCCTGCCACAAGTCTAAAGCACCTTCCAGTGGGGACCCACAGCAAAGGGTCAGAAACAAGCAGACAAGCCCGGAAGGAAAAAGAGCAAAATCAACATCAAGATAAAAGCTGCCATTGTCTCCTCCCCATGGGTCTCACCCACATCTGTGTCACCCCGTCCACGACCAAAAGACAAGCGCAGTTTCTTCACGTGTCTCTAGGCTCCATGCGCCTCCTCCAGGTCTCCTTCTGGCTCCATCCTGCTTCCTTCCTCAGCCTCTTCTGCAGCTTCTCCTCTTCCTGCTCAGCTCCACCCTCCCTTGGGTGGGGCAGGGAACCTCCCCCTTTCCTGGGGACCACCCTGTTGCACTTTCAGTCTATCAAAACCAGTGTTATGGCTGGACTGGTCCTTGTTCTTACTAGGATTGCAAGATGCCCTTCAACAATAAACATAAGGAATTATTAAAAAAAAAAAAAAGGTAGGAAAGAGTGAGTTTGTGTTCATGAATGAATGCACTTGGGGATTCTGCTTTTATTGGGATGAAGGGTGGAGGTTTAGTATTTTTGAGCTCACTATTGGTGAATTTTAAACAAAAAGTCGGAATTTAAAGCATGGGAAGCGAAAGAAAGAAAAAGAAAAACCAAATAACCAGTTATTTAAGTCAATGAAGATCTGTAAAACAAAGGAGCCACTGAGGGGAGGCAATCTGACTCTCTATCTAGTCACATGGCTGGCAATGGTTTACTGAAGCTGGTTCTCTTTGAAGTAGATGCCGCAGCATCAAAGCTTAAGTCAGGCACTTGAATTACAAAAAGAAGCCAACTGTCAGGGTTTACAATATGATAAGTGTATGTTTAACTGTAAGAAATTGTTAAGCTGTTTCTCCAAGTGATTACACCATTTTGTATTCTTACCAGGACAAAGTGAAAACATAATTGTTTGTATTTGCTTTTCCTAATTAACATCCTTAAAGAGGGAGTGTGTTGGTCTCAGCTTTTGGCTAGCCTGTGTTTTGGATACTCTCAGGTGGCATCTATCCTTGGTTTGGGTCTGCTGTGGTAGGATGGTGGGGGTGGGGAGGTGTAGTACAAAATCTCTACTTGTTCATGCCCTTCATGGTGACAGAATTGTGGAGGGAGGGGTGTGGTGGCGGTGCTGGTGCGTAAACTCCCAAGTTGTGGCAGCAACAGTAGCGTCAGCATTGTATGGGGCTGGATTGAAACCAGCAGTGACAGAGCCATTTTTTGTTTTAAACGTCAGGATTTTTAAAATCTAGTTTAACCCAAGTTCACTAAGATTTTCTGCTATGTTTTCTCCTGGATGTTACACTGTTTTAACTCTTGCATTTAGTTTGATTCATGATTCATAACATGTTTTGCTTGCATATGGTATGAGGTAATTTCAGAAAATACTTATTACTATAGTTGTTATAGGGCAGCCCCGATATTGAACGGGTTGCCTGGCTGTGGGTCCTCACCCGTGCACTTAAACGGGACTTATTAATACTCTACTACAGGCACACACAAAAGGTTAATAAAAGGTTTATTTAAAAGGGAAAAGGAAATAAGGAAAATGTACAACTCAGGGAGAAAATAGGGAAATAAAGTCTTTAATGCGTCCTACCCAATCCGACAACCTGGAAACCCAAAAAGCACTCTCAGAGCTGGCCATACGCTGAGAGCTGGCCATACGCTGAGAGCTGGCGGAGAGCCAAAATGGGGGAACCCCTCCAAAGCCCAAGAGTCTGAATTTATACCAAGCTGGCTGCTTAATCCCACCCTTGGGTCCCAGCCACCTTCCCTTTGGTGGTGATGGGATTTGGAGTTCCCAGTGTCTTTGGCTTTGGCCTGGGGTGGGGGTGGAGTCCACAAAGCCTGTATGGAATTAGCTTTAGGACATCCTTCCCCCCCCCTCAACATAGTTATATAATTGTATATTTTATATATCTATTTTTGTTCCATTGATTTGTCTGTTTTTATGTCTTTGCCAGTCCCACACTATCTTATTACTGAAGCTGTATAGTAAGTCTTGAAATAAATGAGGAATAATTGGAAAGTCATTGGCTTGTGCTTACAGAGGGCACTTAAGTGGGAGATGCATTTTGATTCAATGAAGAGAAATGTATTTCAGTACTAAGTACTGTTTGGAATGAAGAGACTCACGAAAGGTTATTAATGATCCATCTCTTGGAAGTGTTAAACTGAGTTTGGATGTCAGAGAAGCTGCAGCTTTCAGTTGTAATGCGGGACAAGAAGCAAGCAGATCTGTCACCTCCATTGTCCTTCTCAGGGAGTTCCTTTTATTTTTTTTTCCCCATGACACTTAACCCTATCCTCATTGATATTTTTGGTGTTTTCTGGAGTTTTGCAGTTTTCCTGACTTTGCATATAGTCTTTGACTTTTCCTAGGAGCTGACATGCTACATGGGATTCTTTCTTGTGCAGTTCTCCACTGGTGTTTGGAAACAGAATTCTTGGTGACCATTTGAATAGGAACTCCTCTTGATATCTGCTTATTTCCAACCCCCCCAAAAAAAGTTACTTTTCACTCTTGTTTATAACTTGTTTTCTAGATCTGGTCTGTTATCCTCTTCTTTTGTTGTAAACGGAGTGGAGTATCTGTGATAGGTTTTAAATAAGGGACATATGTAACTTACACCTTAAAAAGATTATCTTACATGAAACTGGTTGCCTGCTGTAAGAGTAATTAGCTCCCTCTACCTCCTTGAAGAAGTGTCTTCATTAAGTAAGATTAGATTGGATAACTTGTAAGGGCCCATCTTCTCTGCCTTTCAGGTTTTTTTTTTTTTTTTTTTTCAAAGATTTATTTACTTATGCATACAAGAGTCGGGGTTCAGGCCAGAGATCTGGGGGGGGGGTGAGAGGATTCACCAGAGACAGAGTGGGGAACAGAACAGGCAGACTGAGTGAAATACACTGCTGAGGGGAGCAGCGGGCGAGACAGGAGAGGTCTGCTGTGCCATGTGGGTTTCTCTCTGGCCGGCGGGGGATCGAACTTGTGCTGCGGAGGCTGTGGGTTGCTTCATAGTGTGGTACTTAACCCCTTGTGCCACCAGGGAAGCCTGCCTTTCAGTTTTGATCAGAAGTCCTGTTAGGGAGAAATGATGTCCTGAGCTAATCCCATACAGGCTTTGTGGACTCCACTCCCAGTCCGGACTAAAGCCATCAAGACATTGGGAAAGACAAATCCCATCACCACCAAAGAGAAGGTGGCTGGGACCTGAGGGTGAAGTTAAGCAGCCAGGTTGGGTATAAAAACCAAACACGTGGGCCTTGGGGGGCTCGCTGTTGCTTGCCTCCTGGCTTCGCGGCTCCTGGCTGGCGGCCAGCTCTCAGAGCGCCATTTGGGATTCCTGATCGGCGGATCGGGTAGGACTCATTTAAAACTTTGTCTCCCACTTTTCTCCCAGAGCTGTACATTTCCTCATTTCCCCTTCCCTTGTAAATAAACCTTTTATTAACCTTTCGCGTGTGCCTGCAGTAAAGCATTAATAAATACTTTTAAGTGTGTGGGTGAGGACCCACAGTCAGGCACCCCGTTTTGTATTGGGGTTGCTCTACAACAGTCCCAGCTTGTTTTCTCTTCCTAGGACTTAGATTTAAAAATATAGTCCTAAGTCTATCCTTGGCACATAGCATGTCCTCAAGAAATGCTGGTTAAATAAATGTACACAAATTCTTCATGGTGTCCTTTTTTTCTCTTACAGTTAAAAGAGCCAAATTCCAGGGTTCACCAGGTAAGGCTAGCCTTTAATTATTTTATTATGTCCTTTATCCCCCATACATGATACGATTTAAAAGCAGTCTTTCAAAACATCATTAATTTCACTTAATTCATTACTTAAACTCAACTGAATTTATTAAATTATTACAAAAGTAATATAAGGAGATGTTGGTGGAGGGCTGTACAAAGTTTTAATTATGAAAAATGAGTCATTTCTAGAGATCTAATGCACAAGAATTTATACTTCTCACTATATATTTGAAATTTACTAAGAATAGATCTTAAGTGTTCTCAATACACACTCATTCTTTTTTACATTTTTTATTTTATATATTTTTTACATCATTTTTCATTTTTGCACAATGTATGCATTTTCTTTTTTTTTCATTTATTTATACAAGCACTGGGTACAGTCAGAAGCTCGGGAGGGTGAAAGGATTCACTAGAGCCAGAGCTGGGAACAGAACAGGCAAAGTAACGAAACACACTGCTGAGGGGAGCAGCGGGCGCAGCAGGAGAGGTCTGTGTGCCATGTGGGAACCCTCACTGGTGGCTGGGGATGGAACCGGCACTGCAGAGGCTGTGGGCAGCTTTGCAGCCCAGCGCTCTACCACTGTGCCACCAGTGGTGGCACAAAGATATGCATTTTCATCTTGGTTATAGTCCCCATACAATTCCCACCACCCTTGTTTTGATCCTACTCTCTTCTCCCGCTCCCCCCACCATGCCCTAGTGTGTCTCTGGTTTATTAGTCTTTTTCCTGGTCCCTTATTTAGGTTTTCTAAATTCCTGCTATGAGTGAGACCATCTGGTATTTTTCTTTTTCTTTCTGGCTTATTTCACTGAGCATGATCCCTTCCAGCTCCATCCCTCTTGCTGCAAATGGCATGGGTTTATCTTTTTTGATTGTTGAGTCATATTCCATTGTGTATATGTACCACATCTTCTTGATCCAGTCATCTATTTTGGGGCATTTGGGTTGTTTCCAAAGCTTAGCTATTGTAAACAGTGTTGCTATAAACAGAGGGGTGCAGGTGCTCTTTGGAATTGATGTTTCTGTGTCCTTTGGGTAAATACCTAGGAGTGGAATTGCTGGATCATATGGAAGCTCCATCTTTAGCAGTCAGTACACACTCATTCTCCCCACAGATCCCCCCCAGAAAATGGTAACGATGTGGTGGTACTGAATATGTTAATTTTCTTGATTGTGGTGATATTTTTTCATCTGTACACACATTAAGTCAAGTTTCATAACTTAAATATATATAAATTTTATTTGTCCATTATACTTTTCAGCAAGCTGGGGCAAAAAATTAATACTGTTGTAAAACATTAAAGAAATCTCTCTCTCATACCTTTGTCTCTCTTCCTCTCTTTCCCTCCTTCCCTCTCAGATCCCTTTTTATCTAGTAAATAATTAGTCCCTGTATCTCTTGACCAACTCAATTCAAGTTCATGACTTAGAAGTAATTATTTAGAGGTTTTTAATATGCTTTTGCAAATCTTTTTTCTATGTGTATGCATGTATACAAAAATGGTTCAGCTAAACATACCTCTGCAACACATAGGAATACCTTCTCTCTGTGTGTATATACATATACATATACACACATACACATATACATATGTCTGTATAGAATTTTAAAACATACAGAATTTTGTTGTAGATTTGTACCTTTGATACCAAATGCCGGCCTCAGTTTCCCTCAGCCAATGAAAGGAAACAGAGTTTGAGGAAAAGGAAAATGGTTTAATTTGTTGACCGATGAGGAGGGCAGCCGACTCATGTCTGAAAGAAAACTGTCCTGCTCTTGGGCAGAGTGCAGGGGTATTTATACAAAGGGAAAAAAGGAGGGAGATGGGCAAGGGTCTGCAAAGGGGAGGGGAAAAGGGTAAGCACGAGATGGGTGGGCTCCAGCTTGCTTTTTTAACTGCTGTATTCCTTGGAATGCAAGAAGACGAACCAGTCATACACGGGGGGAATTGCAAGAAATATGGGAGAGACAAACTTGCTAAGGCTTATCTGAGAGATGGGTCATAAAGAAGGCAAACTTGTCAAATAAGGGGGGAATTGCAAGAAAAATGGGAAAGACAAACTTGTTAATTCTTATCTGAGAGACCAGTCATATGTAACTGCATCACCTTTAAGTCCATGATTGAATATTTAGGTTGTTTCCAGCTTTTGTCTATTATAAAGAGCAAATGTTCTTATGGGTTTATCATTGCTTGCAAAATGTATCCTTATGCTAGAATCAGAAGTATAATTGCTGGGCCAAAGGTGTATATATATATTTTTTTTTTCCCAAAGGTATATTTTTAAAAATACTGGTAGTTGCTGCCAAACTTCTCTTATGAAAATTTTTGCTAGATTGTACTCTGACCAAAGTGTGTTTATTTTTCCAAGTCCTAATCAACATTAGATAATATGAAACTTTTTAATCTTTGTCATTTTGTGGGTAAAAAATGGTTTCTCCTTAATTGTTTAGAGCAGGTTACAAAGATATAGTATAGTTACTGTTGGAGAAAAAATGAGTAGCTTGAAAACTCAGAAAGATCTGAAAAACTGAGTCTTGCATATATCTCAGTAAGGTCTCGCATATATCTCCTGCATATGTCATCTGTAAAGACACATACCCCAGTGCAAAGAAAATGAAGGAAAAGATGAACAGCTGGGATTACATCAAATTAAAAAGTTTCTGTACAACAGAAGAGACATTAACTGGAACAAAGAGACACCCTATTTAGTGGGAGAAAATTTTTGCACACAATATAACTGATAAGGGACTGATCACAAAGAACTACAAAGAGCTCACAAGACTCAATAAAAACAAAGCAAACAGTCAAGTCAAAAAATGGGCAGAAGAGCTAAAAAGACACTTATCCAAAGAGGAAATGCAAGTTGCCAACAGGTATATGCAAAAATGTTCAACATCCCATATAATCAGGGAAATGCAAATCAAAACCACAATGAGATACCACCTTACACTAGTGAGAATGGCATATATTAAAAAACTGGAAACTGCAGATGTTAGTGAGGATGTGGAGGAAAAGGAACTCTCCTGCACTGCTGGTGGGAATGCAGACTGGTCCAACCACTATGGAAAGCTGTGTGGAGGTCCCTCAAACTGGTAAAAATGGAGCTACCATATGACCCAGCAATTCCACTCCTAGGAATCTATCTGAAGGACACAAAAACATTAATTCAGAAGGATACCTGCACCCCTCTATTTATTGCAGTTCTATTTATAAATAGATATGGAAACAACCCAAATGCCAAAAAATAGATTACTGGATCAAGAAGATGCGGTGTATATATACACAATAGAATATTACTCAGCAATCAAAAAAGATAAACTCATGCCATTTGTAGCAACATGGATGGAGCTGGAAGGAATTATGCTCGGTGAAATAAGCCAGAAAGAAAAATAAAAATACTGGATGGTTTCACTTATAGGTCACTTATAGGTCAAGAAAAAAAATATTATCATAAATAAACAAAATTAACAGGCAACTATAAATCGGATATTCTACAGGGGAGGGGGAGAGAGAGGGATCAAAACGTGCACGGAAAGAGCATAAAGGGCTCTGGTGATGGTGCATGGGTGAGTTGGTGGTGGAAATTTTACAGAGACTGAGAGGAGAAAGCATACATTGTACAAAAAGGAAGAATGATTTAAAATATATATAAATAAAAAACAGAGAAATCAGCAACAAAAGCAAAAATAAAATAAAAAACAATAAGATACTTGGATGAGTCTTGGATGCAACAGAAACTAAAGCGGTTTTTGAGCTTACTGCTTTTTCCACTGCCTGGATTAAGAGTTTCTTTCTGAGAACTTGCTCTGTTCACTGTTCTCTTCTAGCTGGCTTTCTAGGCTCTCTGTCTAGCCCATAATGACTGCTCTGGTGATGTTTATATGCTTTCCTTGGAGTTTTGGCACCAACCACCAATTATCCATATTTGTTTTTTCTATTTAAATCCTTGGGGATGGGATCATGTCTGTCTCAGCTTTAACCAGCCCATGTTTGGATGCTCTTGAGTGGCATCTACCTCTGATCTTGGTCAGCTTTGATTAGATATGAGAGTGGAGTTAAAAAAATCCTACGATGAAAAGCATAATCCAGTGTGTCTATTGCACTGCTACTATTGGATGCAGATGGGAATTCCTCATGGGGGTGGACTTGTATCCTTACATAATTTAAGTGTAATTGTAGTAAACTTTCCTTGTTAATAAGTATAAAGTAATATCTTTTTTTTAAAGTCCAAAGATTTTTTTTTTTTCTTTCTTCACACTTACTTACTCTGCCACGAATCTGTAGGGAATGGATTCTAGCAGCTCCGCTCCTTTCCATTGGCGCTCACAAAGTGCGCTTCTTTGGGTCAAGCAGACTGGCAATTCAGTTGAACCCAAGTACTTTACTCTGGTTTTCTTTTTTTTCTGATCGTGTTTTTTCATACGTTTCAGGAAGCTATCTCAGTTCTACAATATTCTCTTGGCAAGAATCTTACTAGTTTTGTTTAAAGTAATGCCAGCTGTATGCTGGGTAACATTATAGACTCCCAATGTTGCCATGGTCACGTGTGGGGCATGCCTTTTTGAATAGTGCCCATCCGTTTTATGTCTACATCATCTTGCTTGTAGATTCACATATGCGTGGCCAAAGGAACAACTCCATGTTTTCTGATAGGTTAGAGGACATATAGCAGGTGCCTCTGCACTTTCCCTTTGTGTTGGTCATTTAGGCAATTTCCTGGTAGTTGGTGGTTCCCAAAAACAATATACTCTTCAACAATATATTTCAGAGAAAGATTCGCCTTCTTCTAGAATGCACGACAAGGCCCATTTTCTCTCAGTTCTAACATTAGGTAGTCATTTTAAATAATCTTTGTCAATTTGATGAGCTAAAAAGTACTGTCCTTTTTTTCATTTTATAAAATTATAATTAATTTCATACATAAAAAAGTGAACTCTCAGTTTAGTGTCCTTAATCATGGCTGGTGTGAAGGTAGTGGAATGAACTGCAAAATATACTGTGTTAAGCAGTAAGATCAGACTTCTGAGCTGTAAGTTCCAGGATCCTATCTTATACTCCCAGGTTAAAGAATATCCTTTTCCCAATTCTGTGATAATATTCTTTTTAAGTTGTGTTATAGACCAAATGGAATTATGTTTGAAATCCACATTATGTTTCAAACTATGAAATCCATATTCTTTATGAGGATGTCTCCTTAATTCTTGTCCCTGTCAACAGTGAGAGGTAACCTTTTTGACTCCTGTAATACTTTATCACTTTTTTCTTTTATTTCTTCCTGCATTTTTAAAATTTATATACCTTTCCTACTAAATCCGTTAAATTAATTTTTTATTCAAGCTGTATGTGGGCTATAAAATAAATTTGGTTGCATTATGATTAACATTTTAATATGGATAAGCTAGAATAGGAAATATCAATGTATCATCTTGTGTCTCATGAAGCTTTTGTTTCAGTTTATATGTAGTAATGTATGGCTAGTGAGGGAAATATAAAGGATAATAAACTTTAAAACACTGTTTACGGATTATGCTTTTAAAGATAGTATGTATTTTACAATTTTTTGCAACTCTGCTATGCTTAGAATGATACTATATTGTACAGTGTTACTTCATTTTTTTTCCTCTATATGTAATACATTAATTTGGATAGTCCTTAATTGCAAGGGCTATGCGATATTGGATAACAATCTGAGTACTAATTATATCTTCATTTTGTATTTTTTTTAAAAGATAAATTTAACACATATGTCACCCTGAAAGTGCAGAATGTGAAGAGCACAACTGTAGCAGTTCGTGGGGATCAACCTTCCTGGGAACAAGATTTTATGTTGTAAGTACTTTGTAGCAGCGGGCTTACAATATTTGATAATTTTGTAAGGTAATCACATTGTATTAAACAAACAGAGCATGTATCTAAGATTTATTAAATGTGTTAAATATTTAAACCATATTTATGTTAATATATATTAAATATCCTTTCTGAAAACTACAGAGTTCTAGGGACAAATGAGATTGTGTGGTAGGTGATGTACATCTGCAGTACTGTTCTCTTCTTGGATTGTAATCCATTCTTAAGATGAATTATGAATGTGAATAAATTCCCAATTTATATTGGTGAAAATACTACTTAGATGTATTTCCCCAGTGGTCAGAATTAGTATAGTACAAATACTTAGCATCATACTAAATGTAATCTTTCTTTGATTCTCAGAAGACTCCTTGAAGGAATGTGGGTGTGCATGTGAGAGACTGTGTGCTCATATGTACCCAAGTCATCTGCTTTAGACGATGAAGATTTCTGTGTTCAAAATCCTTTTTGCTTCAGTAAAACTCCTACACTCAGATAACTGACAGACATCTTGTTTTCATCTAATTAATAAAAATGAGTAAACATTGGTAGAATTTCTTACATGTGACACAAATTTAATATATTGTAAGCTCTGGCTTTAAAAGCTTGATTTTCCTTTTTCTTTTCCCTTTAAGTTTCAGGAAAACCTTTTCTTTTCTTTTTTTTTAAAGATTTATTTATATAAGCACTGGGTATAGTCAGAAGCGCGGAAGGGTGAGAGAATTCACCAGAGCCAGAGGGGAGAGCAGAGCAGGCAGACTGATGAAGTACACTGCTGAGGGGACCAGTGGGTGTCAGGAGAGGTCTGCGTGCCATGTGGGATCCTTGCCTGGTGGCTGGAGATGGAACCGGTGCTGCAGAGGCTGCAGGCAGCTTCACAACCCAGTGCTCAATCGCTGCGCCATTGGGGAAAACCTTTTCTTGCTATAGAAAAGGGGTGAGAAGTATAGAATATCATTTTGAAGTACTGGGGAAATCACTTTTCTGGATGCCAGTTTCCTTATCTGTAAACGTCTACCTTTGTTACAAGGCTTGTTTTGGGGGAAGGCATGTGCACAGGGGTCAACCAAGAAAATGTGTTAAAATTGCTATGAAATTTGAAATTGAAACAAATTTCTTTACAAGTTTTATAAGTGGCAGAGAGATATAGGAATGATGATTTTTTTAATGGGGAAATAAACATTCCTTGGGTTTGTTGTATATTTCTTTTTCTAGTACCTTTTGCAAAACTTTATTATAATAAAGGGGTGAGATTGTTATAGGACAGCCCCAATATTGAACGGGTTGCCTGGCTGTCGGTCCTCACCCGCGCGCTTAAGAGGGACTTATTAATACTCCACTACAGGCATACACAAAAGGTTAATAAAAGGTTTGTTTACAAGGGAAAAGGAAATAAGGAAAATGTACAAACTCAGGGAGAAAATAGGGAAATAAAGTCTTTAATGCATCCTACCTGATCCACCGACCTGGAAACCCAAAGTCACTCTCAGAGCTGGCCGGATGCTGCTAGCTGGCGGAGAGCCAAAATGGGGGACCCCTCCAAAGCCCAAGTGTCTGGCTTTATACCAACCTGACTGCTTAACCCCACCCTCAGGTCCCAGCCACCTTCCCTTTGGTGGGGATGGGATTTGGAGTTCCCAGTGTCTTTGGCTTTGGCCTGGGATGGGGGTGGAGTCCACAAAGCCTGTATGGAATTAGCTTTATCCTTTCCCCCTACCAAGATTATGATGGCTTGGGTTAAGAAAATAGCAAAGGGGGCCTCCCCTGGTGGCGCAGGTGGTTGAGGGCAGTGCTGTGAAGCTGTTGGCAGCCTCTGCAGTGCCGGTTCCATCCCCGTCGGCCTCGGAGCAACCCAAATGGCGAGCAGACCTCTCCTGTCTTGCCCGCTGCTCCCCTTAGCAGTGTATTTCGTCAGTCTGCCTGTTCTGTTCCCCGCTCTGTCTCTGGTGAATCCTCTCACCCTCCCACGCATCTGGCCTGTACCCCGGTTCTTGTATAAATAAATAAATCTTTAAAAAAAAATAGCAGAAGGGATGGACCATGTTAAGGAAGTAGAACCAAATTTGTTTGATGGTTGGATGGGTGGTGTTCCACTCATTAGGAGAGGGGATAAGGTAAAATCAGTTATGCACAAGCTTGTATTTTAGGTTCTTGCAGGACAGGTAGGAGCAGAGTTATAGAAAATAGTTAGAAACTTGTACCTCACACTTAAGGAAGAAGTCTGGGTTGGAGAACTATTTCAGTAGATGAAAGAGCGTAGCGGGAGAGTGTAGGGTGAGAGAAAGATCTAGGATAGAGCCTGGAGAGCACCAGCATTTGAAGAGGGGACAAAAGGGACTGAGAAATCGTGAACTAAGTGATAGGAGGAACAGGAGATAATGATGTCCTGTAAGCTGTGGAGACTTGGGGCTTCACAAAGAAAGAGGCAATAGTGTCAGATTTCTCACTCATTTCCTCTCTCTCAAGATGAAAAGACCCATTCATTTCCTCTCAGTTACAGTGAGGTCAGAGAAAGGTGTGTTATTTTCTTTTCACACATAATGTGCACAGTCAGCTCTGAACACTTCTTTCAAGTCTCTTCCTGTAGCATTGCTAGCCACACCGCAGCTGCTGCTGAGGTCTATAACCCTAGCAGTCCATGCTTCTGACTTCCAGTGGGCTTTAATAATCACTTTCTGTTGTAACTATTGTCAGCATGTGCAACATGGTGATCTTTTACAGCCTTTAATCAGCATAACTCATTTTCTTCTTACGTGTTTATTTTCCAATTTTCCATAGCACTTTCCCTTTCAACCCTGCTTTGATGTGTGAATTTTCTTTCCTGTTTCCCACCTTGAGATGTGTGAATTTTTCTCTTTCCCCTTTTACACATTATTTTTATTAGTTAAGTTACTTCTCTACCTTTTTACTCCTACTCTTGTTCCTCCTACCGCGTCCTTTTGTCACTGGCAATTCCATTGCTGATTTCTATCCCCTCTCCTTTTTCCTTCTCTTTTATGTATTATATAGCAGTATCTCATGTATTAAATATGTATTATATGGCAATATCAGTTGGTATTTCTTATTTATCTTTAATATTTGTGTGTTATTTCTAGGACTAGATCATTTTTTTTTGGAAAGATTTATTTATTTATGCACGCAAGAGCTGGGGTGTATGCCAGAGGTGCCAAGAGGTGAGAGGATTCACCAGAGACAGAGTGGGGAGTAGAACAGGCAGATCTACTGAAATACACTGCTGAAGGGGGCAGCGGGCGGGACAGGAGAGGTCTGCTGAGCCATGTCGGTCACCCCCTTGGCCCAGCTGCAGTCACTGGTAACAGCTTGATAGTGCTGTCTTTAACTCCTGCACTACCAGGGAGGCCCCACCATCATTTCTTAAGAGCAAAGATAGTATCTTCACTTACTGTGAATTTGCCTAGAATCTTATGTATACATATATGCACATATACTATTGATTGAGGTAATTGATAAAGAAAAGGAACTTCCTCAGAGTCCTGGGGATAAGGCATAAACAGAACTCTCAGAGCCTGGACCTGCTGAACAAATGTGAATGTAAACGAAATCAGAGTCCTGTTTTAAGATATCCTCATTGTTTGGGCTTCTATGTCTGTCTAAGTCAAACTATTAAAGACCTCTGGCTATTTCTTTTATCTATGACTGGGGATATTATTTAGGGGTTGCTTGGGAATATTACTTATATGTACCCGAGCAATTTTTTTTTCCAAATTCAAATGAAGTATGCTTCAGATTTAAGGGATTAATCTGAATTAAGATTAATTGATTAATAAGGCTCAATGAAACTGTGACAAAAAGCTTAATTTCCCATTCCTAACTGAATGGCTGGGTTAAGTCACCTACTTTGTGGCTTTGAACAGCTCTCCAGACATCTTGTAAGTTTATAGAGAAAATAAATTGGTCCTATAGTGTGTGTCTTCTCGAATGTACTAAGCAGTGTGCAGTATAAGCAGCATTATAGGTGCTCAAGAAACAAATGAACTCATTAGTACATTCATATTCTATTATATTTATGTAAAAGGGGAACACCTTTTTTGCTTCATTTGTCTTCAACATACGTGGTATGAATTACTTGGCCATAATACTGCATAAATCTAAGAACATTTACCTTATAATTTAATAGGGAAGCTAAACATAAACTTGAAACTTCTATATATGCTGAGTAGCTGTTGTTTTCCTGAGATTATTTTACTGCTGGAATTCACCTTGTCTCATCTTCTTTGCATTTCCCCCCAAATAACTTTGTTTCTTTTCTTTTTATCCCCCCTCCTCTGGAGGCTGAGTGGTACCAACTGGTGTACTATAGTGTCACTTCCCTCTGACCACCTGTTCCCATTTAACATACATGTTCTCAGAGGCCCTTTTACTTCTGCTTGGACTCTCTATCATGAATCTTTTAAAGAAGACTTGTCTTTTTGTAAGTTTCCTGTATACCGTCCATAGGCGTAAGTTGGAGAGGGAGGGCAGTGTTGTTATTAACAGTAAAACACATCAACTTGTGTATGGGTAGAGATTGCCCTCATTTTTTTGTGAAACATTAACCATGATTGTATCTCCAAAAGGGAGGCACAGACTAACAAAGACATTTTTCTATGGATACCTTTTTGTTTATTTTGTGGGACCCTTGCCGGTGGCCAGGGATCGAACTGGCGCTGCAGAGGCTGTGGGCAGCCTCGCAACCCAGCGCTCAACCGATGCGCCACCAGGGGAGGCCCTCTATGGATACCTTTTATACATTTCTAGTAGTCTAAAGAATGGCTGTAGAATTCTGAGACATTTTGTTTTTCCCTTATAGGATCCTGGTGAGAAAGTAATCAAGGTTTATCAAAATAGGAGAATTAGTTATTTCTTCCATGTTACTGGTTTCCTTTAAAGGATTTTCTTCTTCCCTTTAGTGAGATTAGTCGACTGGACTTGGGTCTAAGTGTGGAGGTATGGAACAAAGGACTCATCTGGGACACCATGGTGGGGACCGTGTGGATTGCACTGAAGACGATTCGTCAGTCGGATGAGGTCAGTCAGTGCATTGCCCATTTGGAAGTGTGGTTCTACCTTTTCTTCTCCCCATCCTAGTTCCACTTTAGCTAATATTCATCCATGCGTATCAGTTTGTTCTGCGTCCTTTCTAGTTAGACGGTATGTAACCAGTCTATTCTTAGCCTCCTTCAGAGGTTCAGGAGACTTTATTTAAGTGTTGTTTTCTCTTATCAGGTAGGTAGCCTTCTCTGAATTGTGAGTATGTGGGAGAGAAAGTGAGAGAGTTCGAATATGGATATGAATATGAGTGAGAGAGTTCGAATATGGATATGAATATGAGTGAGAGAGATCTAGATAGATGCCTAGATAGAGAGCTAGGGTACTTATGGTTTCTACATTTTCCCTCTAAGACACTATCCTGGGAGGAATCCTGTCAAACTTCCTGAACCAGCTGGCTGATCCTCTTCTCCGTTTTGTTTCGAGTCACCAGTCCACAGAGAATTGATTTCATTCCTTCCACATGTAATCCTAACAGGGTTTTAGGGATCACCAGTCTTGGTGATTGCTGTTCATGCTGTTTCTGCATATTATTTTCAAAACTGAACTCCCAGTCCATTTTCCTGATTAGACTGTAATTCAGAGAGCATCATTTCCCCTTAGATACTCACTTTGAACCTGGACAGAAGCTATTATATTCCTACTGGCTTTAACATGGGCTGTGACTTTTCTTTGGGAGTAGGAATGGTGATGGTGTTCCTCTCTTTTCTAAATTTCTCTTAGCTCTGGCTAAGTCTTTATTGCTCCAAGCAAATGGGCTGTTCACTTTCAGTGTAGCCCTAAGCTAATGTTAGTAGTTCTTTACTGATTAGAAGTAGTGACACATATCATTAAGTGACACCGTTGTTAAGAGTTGGGCAAATTAAATATTGATCCATGGAGATGCTAGGTTTTTGAGTTTGGTAATCTGGAAAAGCTATTTTCAGAGACCCTGCAGTGACCGAATACAATAAAATCTGCTCTCCATTAAAGAGGGAAGACAGAAGCTACATGCAATAGTGGCAGTGAGTGACAGTGACGTGTTTGTCTTATCAGGACATGGCCCTCAGCAGCTCTCTAAGAAGGAACTTTAGAGAAGAACATGCGATTCCTAAGCCAAAAGTGGTGTTATGAAAGAGTCAAGTTTAATCTTAGATCTCTGTTTTCTAGGAAGGGCCCGGGGAGTGGTCCATCTTGGAGGCAGAGACATTAATGAAAGATGATGAGATCTATGGAACTAAAAACCCAACTCCCCATAAAATTTTGCTTGATACAAGATTTGAGTTGCCTTTTGGTGAGTCTATTTGATTAGATTTTAAAAACTAATACTTTTTACCATATTGTTTAAAATTTGTTTGCTGGTTGTTTCATTAATGTATTGTTTTTCTTCTCAGCTACCTCCTTTGAGGACATTGTCTTCTACTCTGTTCCCTATAAAACCTAGCCAGGGTGGTACAGAGTAGACTCTAGAGTACTGCTCATTAAAATATCCATACTCGAAGTATTGTCTCCAAGTCATTTAGTTTTTATTTTTTTTTATTATTTTTATTTTTTTATTTTTATAATAAATTTTATTTTTATATTCCCCATACAATTGCAACCCCCCCATTCTGACCCCAATCCCTCCCCTCCCACCCCCCACCCCCCAAAAAGTGTCTCTGGTTCATAGTTTTTTGTTGATTTTGATTTTCACTTTCTTATTCATTTTCCTGGTCCCTTATTTTCCTGGTCCCTTATTTAAGTTTTCTAGATTCCTGCTATGAGTGAGACCATCCGGTATTTTTCTTTTTCTTTTTGGCTTATTTTGCTGAGCATGATCCCTTCCAGCGCCATCCATGTTGCTGCAAATTGCATGTGTTTATCTTTTTTGAATGCTGAGTAATATTCCATGGTATATATGTACCACATCTTCTTGATCCAGTCATCTGTTTTTGGGCATTTGGGCTGTTTCCAAAGCTTAGCTATTGTAAATAGTGCTCTATAAACATAGGGGTGCAGGTGTTCTTTGGAACTGATGTTTCTGTGTCCTTTGGGTAAATACCTAGGAGTGGAATTGCTGGATCATATGGAAGCTCTATGTTTAGTAGGTCCAGAAATCTCCACACGGATCTCCATAGTCAAGTCATTTAGTTTTTTTTAAGGTTATTTATTATGACTTAGGAAATATCTGCTTACTAGAGACCATCAATGATTCTTTTGAAAATATTTTAACTTATTTTATGAAATGAGTATATACTTGTGATTAGTGATTTTAACATTGAAGTAGCACTAATAAATAGAAAAATAATTTAAAAGTTAACTTTTAAAAATCATACAAAAATACATGCTCAGGCCTCCCTGGTGGCGTAAGGGGTTAAGCATCACCCTATGAAGCAATCCACAGCCTCTGCAGCACGAGTTCCATCCCCGGCAGGCTGGGGAGAAACCCACATGGCAAGGCAGTCCTCTCCTGTTTCGCCTGCTGCTCCCCTCAGCAGTGTGTTTCAGTCAGTCTGCCTGTTCTGTTCTCTACTCTGTCTCTGGTGGATCCTCTCAGCCCCCGCATCTCTGGCCTATACCCCAGCTCTTGTATGCATAAAAATAAATAAATCTTAAAAAAATGCATACTCATAATAAAATTTCAAATAATATGGAAAAATATATGGATTAAAAGTTAAAAGTTTCTCTAACTGTTCTTTAATCTCCTTTGCATTGCTCAGAAGTAAGCACTGTCAGCTTACTTGTGTCTTGGTTTAGAAATTCATTTTTTAGATAATAACAGTACAAAACACAACAAATGAAAACAGACAATTATAAATCAGAGACATACTACAGGGGAGGAGGTGGGAGAGGGATCAGAGGGAGGGAGGGAGGAGCACAGGGGACTGAGGTGATGGTGCACCGGTGCATGATGAAGGAAACTCTATGGGGACTACACCTGAGGGGGTGGGGGTAAGCAAATATTGTTTAAAAATGAACAATGATGTAAAAAAAAAAAATAAAAAAAGATTTATTTTTTAGAAATTTATTTTGACACAATTTGGAGCATACTACTTTAAACATATTGTTGTGGATATCATTCCCTGTTATACTTTAAGGTTTATCTTGCTAACCTGAGCAACTGCTTATGCCATAAAATAAGCAATCCATTAACTTGTAGTTTCTAGTTTTGTTTTGTTTTGATATTAAATACTGCTGAACGAACAGCTTTGTATATCTGTGCTGATTTATGAATCTAGGATGAATTTCTTAAGGTAGAATTTAAGAAGTGGGTTAAGGGCATGCACATCATTATTTTTTGTTGTACCACCAAGTTATTTGTAAAAGTGCTTGGTACTGAGGGTGATGGGTGCTTTGGTGGTGGGAGAATGATGATGGCAGCACCTCGGGGAAAATCCTATATTGTGAAAAAATTAACAAGGATGTAAAATAGTGGTACTTCATTAATGAATAAATTTTCTTAAAAAAAAAAAAAACCAAACAAAATGATTGTACCAATTCATACTCTTACCAACTAAGTCTGAGGTTTCTTTTCTGTATATCTTTGTCAACATTCTTTATTTCCCAACTGTTACCCTTTTTCTGTTGAATTTGTTTAAATGGTATCTTGTTTCAGTTTAATTTAGTTTTGAATGTTAACAGTATTAATATTCACAATATACTATTTTTATTGTTGTGTTATGATTTCAGTCTGTTTATATCTTGGACCTTATGGTGATTAAAACAAAAATGGCATGATTTCCATTTAGCACAGAAATAACAACTCAGCACAACTGTTCCTTCAGAGAAATAGAAAGGAAGAGTTCTTATATGTCGATAGACCAAATTTCAGGTGAAGAGAAAGGCAATTGGAGTTCTTTTTTATTTATTTATTTATACAATAAATAAAATATACAATATACAAGAACTGGGGTACAGGCCAGATGTGCAGGAGGGTGAGAGGATTCACCAGAGACAGTGCAGGGAGCAGAACAGGCAGACTGACTGAAATACACTGCTGAAGGGAGCAGCGGGCGAGCCAGGAGTGGTCTGCTTCACCATGTGGGATTCTTGCTGGCTGGCCGGGATCGAACCTGCGCTGCAGAGGTTGTGGACAGCTTCACAGTGCAGCGCTCAACCGCCTGCACCACCAGGGAGGCCCTGGAATTCTTGCTTATAACTTAGTTCCTTGTATGTTTAGTGTATTTTTAGTTAATAGCTATATTAGTGTGGAGTGGTTTCCATCTTGTCAAATTGGGAGGAGAAAGAGTAGGAATGGGTCTTGGATTAAAAACCACAGAAATTGGCTGTTCTTAAAGTTTTAGTACATTTTCTTGAGTAAATGTTTCTTCATTTATTATCTGCTTTTAGGGCCATTTTCAGAGAGGTGGGTTTGTAGGGGATGGGGTTGAGTGGGCAAAATGGTTGAAGGCAGTCAAATGTCCAGTTGTAATTAAGTCCTAGGGATGTAGTGATAGCGTTATGAGTAATTAGTAATAATGTAATATATATTTGAATGTTGCTAAGAGAATAGATAAATCTTAAAAGGTTTTTGTATAGTGATAGTTGTTAACTAGGCTTATTATGGTGATTATTTGCAGTATATACAGATATCAAATCAGGTTATTCTCCTGAGATTAATATTAAGGTCAAGTATCGCAAAACAAATTATATGCCATCATTAAAAAAAAAGTTTTAATAACTTTTAAGATTTATTTATTTATGCATACAAGAACTAGGGTACAGGCCAGAGATGCAGGGGGCGTGGGAGGATTCACCAGAGACAGAGCGGGGGACAGAACAGGCAGACCGACTGAAATACACTGCTGAGGGGAGCAGTGGGCGAGACAGGAGAGGTCTGCTGCACCATGTGGTTTCTGCCTGGCCAGCCGGGGATCAAACTCATGCTGCAGAGGCTGTGGATTGCTTCATAGTGCGGTGCTTAACCCCTTGCGCCACCAGGGAGGCCCCTAAAAAATAGTTTATAATTTTTTTATTTTATTGAAAGTGTAAAATACAGGTATACAAAAAGGAAATAAAATTTCTTTTTTTTTCTGGTTACAGAAACCTTTATTTTTATTTTAAAAATATATTTATTTATATATATGTGTGTGCATTTTATATTGTTATTCATTTTTGTGCAATGTTTGATTTCTCCTCTCAGGTGTAGTCCCTGTAAAATTCCCACCACCAGATCATCCGTGAACTGTTGCCATAGTCTCTTGTGTTCTTCCCTCCTCTGTTTTGATTCCTCTTTCTTCCCCTCCACTGCTGTATGTCTCCAATTTATAGTTTGCCTGCTAGTTTTGTCTTCTTTTTTAGGAAATAAAAATTCCTTAACAATACCAACTGGAGATAATTGTTTTTTTTACATGTTGACATGTTTCTTTTTTTCCTACATAAATGTAGTTTTGCCTTAAAATGACACTATATTTTACTTTTGGATCCTGTTTTATCCATTAATTTTAGTTATAGTATAAATTTCATATAAAATATTTATCTATACTATTTATATAAAATATTTCTCTATACTATTTTTAGTAACTGATTTCATATTATTGTATGAATGTAAAATAATTAAAATGAATTTGTTGACCAATTACTATGTGCCAGTGGGTATATCAGCTAAGCATTTCTATATGCTATTTAATCCTCACTTCAGTCATAGGAGGTAGACCTACCTATTTCCATTCTAGAGATAAGGGAATTGAGGCACAGAGTATTTAAATCTTTTGCCCCAAAGTCACATAGCTAGTAAGTGGTAAAGCCAGGATTTAAACTTTGATGATATATTTAAACTGTAATATGTTTACCATACCTCTAGTTGGGTATTTTTATTTTTTAAAGATTTATTTATTTATTTATACAAGCACTGGGTACAGTCAGAATCATGGGAGGGTGAGAGAATTCACCAGAGCCAGAGCAGGGAGCAGAGCAGGCAGACTGACGAAGTACACTGCTGAGGGGAGCAGCAGGCACGGCAGAAGAGGTCTGCACGCCATGTGGGACCCTCACCCAGCGGCCGGGGATTGAACCAGCACTGCAGAGGCTGCGGGCAGCTTCGCAACCCAGCGCTAACCGCTGTGCCACCCAGGAGGCCCTCTAGTTGGGTATTTTCACTGTTCACAGTTTGAACTATTATAAATAGTATTGCATTTAGAAATTATATGGAACCATAAAAGGCCTTGAATATCAAAAATAAATAATCCTGAGAAAAGAGAAACAGTTATCACATGACCCGACTTTAACCTATACAATACAACAACAGTATTTATAACAATATAGTATTGGAATAAAAATAGACACACAGATCAATGGAACAGAATGGAAGGCCCAGAAATAAATCTATGTATATGTCAATACTTAAGCCATAACCATACAATGGGATTTTCTCTGACAAAGGAGATTTTCTCTAACAGATGGTGCTGAGAAAATTGGACGGCCATATGTGAAAGAATGAAGTTGGAGCACTCTCATGTAAAAAAAAAATTATAAATGAAGTAAAGACTACAACAATAAGTTATATAGAAGAGAATATTAATGATGTATTTTTCATGACATCAGTGGTAAAGATGTTTTTGGAGACTCAATCCTCATGGTTGTGGAAATAAAAGCAAAAATTAAAAAATGGGATTACTTCATATTAAAAAGCTTTTATTTTTTTAATGTGGTGCTAGCATTACTTTTATTTTTAAAGATTTATTTATTTATGCATGCAAGAACTGGGGTACCAGCCACGTGTGGGGGGTGAGAGGATTCACCAGAGACAGAGTGGGGAGCAGAACAGGCGGGTCTGTTGAAATACACTGCTGAGGGGAGCAGCGGGCAAGTCAGGAGAGGTCTGCTGTACCATGTGGGTAGCTCCCTGGCCAGGAATCAAAGTGCTGCAGTGGCTGTGAATAGCTCTTAGGTTGCTTCTTAACCCCTTGCGCCACCGGGGAGGCCCTAAAAAGCTTTTATACAGCAAAAGAAATATAAGTAGTTAAAAAGACATCTTACTGAATGGGAGAAAATATTCACACTTATATAAGTGACAAAATTATATCCAAGATATGAAAAAAGCTTATTCAATTGAACAATTAAAAGAAGACTCAGTGAACAGCAAATCTGAAGAAACAATGCATTCACAAAAGAGGATATCTAGAAGACGAATAGATACATGGAAAAAAATTCATAAGTTTTAATTATGGAAATGCAGATCAAAACCATGAGATATCGGGCCTCCCCGGTGGCGCAGCGGTTGAGCGCTGGGTTGCGAAACTGTCCGCGCCCGAGGCGCCGGTTCGATCCCCGGCTGCTCCCCGGCCACCAGAGGAGGGTCCCACATGGCGCGCAGACCTCTCCTGCCTCCCGCTGCTCCCCTCAGCAGTGTACTTCAGTCCTTCTGCCTGCTCTGCTCCCTGCTCTGGCTCTGGTGAATTCTCTCACCCTCCCGCGCTTCTGACTATACCCAGTGCATGTATAAACATAACAAACAAACAAAACAAATAAATAAATAAAAAAAAAGCATGCCTCTATACAAAAAAAAAAAACAAAAAACCATGAGATATCATCTTAAAAAGACTTCCAGCAAATGCTGGAGAGGATGTGGAAAAGAGGTATGTTATTACACTGTTGGTGGGAATGTAAGCTGCTGTAGCCATTTTGGAAAGTGATATGGATTTATCTTAAAAAACTAAAAATGGGGCTTCCCTGGTGGTGCAAGGGGTTAAGCACTGCTCTATGAAGCAATTTACAGACAGCACGAGTTTGATCCCTGGCCAGTCAGAGCAAGCCACATGGCAAAGCTGACCTCTCCTGTTTCGCTCGCTGTTCCCCTCAGCAGTGTATTTCAGTCAGTCTGCCTGTTCTGTTCCCCACTGTCTTTGGTGAATCCTCTCACCGCCCCCCCCGCCCCCGCATCTCTGGCCTTTACCTCAGCTCTTATATGCATAAATAAATCTTAAAAAATAAATCCTGAAAATGGAAATACCACAGGACCCAGCAATCTCATTCTTGGGCATCTAGATGAAGAACATGAAACCATCAACTCAAAACATATGTTTATTGCAGCATTATTTACAATGGCTAGGAAATGGAAATAACCAAAGTGCCCCCTGATAGAGGATTGTATTAAGACGTGATATAGTCACACAATGAAATACATGTAAACTACAGTAGTTGTAAAGAATGAGGTAGTTTTATTTTGGTAGGGATAAAACTATGCAAAGGAATGTGTATTTATTTAATGCGAGCTATCTAGGGGCCCTCTCTGGTGGCGCAGGTGGTTGAGTACAGCGCTGTGAAGCTGTCCGCAGCCTCTGCAGCACAGGTTTGATCTTGGCCAGTCTGGGAGATTCCCACATGGCACGGCAGACCTCTCCTGTCTCGCCCTCTGCTCCCCCTCAGCAGTGTATTTCGATCAGTCTGCCTTTTCTGTTCCCCACTGTCTCTGGTGAATCCTCTCACCCTCCCGCATATCTGGCCTGTACCCCGGTTCTTGTATGCATGAATAAATAAATCTGAAAACAAATTCCAATAGTAAAAATATTTACAGTGAGTTATCTATAGATAGACTTCTTCCTGTAAAACTATTTTACCAAAAAAAAAAAAAAGTCATTTGCTACTAGAGAAGGAAATTTGTGTTAAAAGACTTACTTTTGTATCATATGCATATATTACCTATTTGAGTTTGGGTGTTGGGGGTCCTTTGAGGATTCTATATGAATTTTAGGATGGGGTTTTCTGTTCCTGCAAAAAATGTCACTGAAATTTTGGTAGGGATTATATTGAATCTGTAGAGCATTTTGGGTTGTGTTGCTGTCTTAATATTCAATCTTCCAATCCAATTGGGGAATAATAGTACCTTATTTTGGTTTTTGTGAAGATTCAAGATATTGTTCATGGCAAGAACCAAGCCACCAGTAAAATCAATACTATCCTTCTAACTTTGATCATTTGATTGAAAAAGTATTACTGACCCATAGTTAAATTATTACCCCTATAATGTGGTTTCTTTTTTATGGTAGATATACCAGAGGAGGAAGCCAGATATTGGACCTACAAATTGGAGCAAATCAATGCCTTGGAAACTGACAATGAGGTAGGAACTTTTTTATTTGTAACATAGAAAGACAGGGAATCTCTTAATAGTTTGTCATGGAAGGAAACCTGGAGCATGTTGAAGAATGACAGAACTTAAAGTACATTAAAGAAAATGAGCATCTGAAAGATTTTCTGAAATTCATAGGAAGGCTCTTAATCCCATTTTTCTTAAGTAGAGAAAGGGAGGGAGGATGGATCAGAAAAAAGGTTCATAAAACAAAGAAAAGAGTTACGTTGAAGAAATTCTCAGTACTGTCAAATGTTATGGGTAATGAGGTAGAGCTATTGGATTTGTCACTTAATCAGCATCCAGGAAAACGAAAAGCCTAGTTTCATTAGTAGATTAGTTTCCTAAGGCTGCCTAGCAAAGTACCATAGAAGAGGTGACTTAGCACAACAGGGATTTATTCTCTCAGTGCTGGACACTAGAATGAATTCTGAAATCAACGTCAGAACTGGCAGGGTCAGTTCTTTCTGGAGGCTCTGAGGAAGAAACTGTCCCATGCCTCTCTTCTGCTGCTGATGATTCCCGGCAGTCCGTGCCATTCTTGGCCTTGCAGACAAGGCATTCTTATCTCTGCCTCTGTTAACACATGCCTTTGTGTGTGTGTCTTCACAGTGTATTCTCTTTGTGTGTTTGTGTCTAAATTTCATTCACCTTTTAAGGACACCAGTCATTGGGTTAACTCTATAGAAACCTCTGTAGAGCCCTTATTTCCAAGTAAGGTCACATTTCACAGGTGCTGGGGACTTCAACATATTTTTTTTGAGGGACACAATTCTGCTCACAATGAGTTAAATCAAAAATGAAGAAATTGAATATTGGGCAAGAACAGTGTACACTTGTTAGGGTTTTCCATTATCTGAATCTTTAGCAGGTTTTCTGTTACTACACTGCATAATTCTTCTCATGCCCAAGATAGTACACTAACTTTTCTTTGTTGAAAGCTCCAATCTTTCTTTTCTTGATAACTGCCCAAAACCTACTTTTTCCTTGCATTTACTTTGTGTTTTTTGTTTTCCTGGAGCCTGGATACAGAGTAATATATAGTCTTTCAAACTCCTGTTTTCCAAGTAAAGAAACATATTGTACTTTTCATTTTATTAGCTTTACTATGTATTACTATGCAGAATCAGATGAAGGGATTAAAATAATAAAAACCAAATGTAACTTTTTAAAACTCTGAGCTATTTGTGTAAGTCCTAAAATTGTGGTTCTTTGTTATGAGATTTTTGCTTTCTATTCTAGGATATGGAGCTAAGTTTATTTCTTTCATCCCCCACTTTTTAGGAACAACTTTATTGAAATATAGTTCATATACCATACTGTTCACACATTTAAAATGTACAGTTTAGCGATTTTTAATATTTTCACAATTATACATCCATGACCACAGTTAATTTTAGAACATTTTCAATATCCCATTAAAAAAGCCCTGCAACTGGGCCTCCCTTGGTGGTGCAGGTAGTTGAGCTCAGCGCTGTGAAGCTGTCCGCAGCCTCTGCAGCATCAATTCAGTGCCAGCTGGCTGGCGAGGGTCCCACATGGCGCAGCAGACCTCTCCTGTCTTGCCCTCTGCTCCCCTCAACAGTGTATTTTCAGTCTGCCTGTTCTGTTCCCCGCTCTGTCTCTGGTGAGTCCTCTCATCCTCTCGCGCATCTGGCCAGTATCCTGGTTCTTGTATGCATGAATAATTAAATCTTTAAAAAAAAAAACAAAACCCTGCAACTTTAGCCATCACACTCGAATCTCTTCAGCCCTAGGCAACCACTAAACTACTTTTTATCCCCACGCATTTGCTTACTAAATTTTATATAAATGAAATTATAGAATCCATGGTCCTTTATAACTATTTTCTTTCATTTAACGTAATAGTTTCAGAGTTTTTTCTCATGTGATAATATGTATCAGTACTTCATTCTTTTTTATTGATGAATAATGATCCATTGTATGGTTATATTACATTTTATTTATCCATCAATGGATAGATAGTTGGGTTGTTTTCATTTTTCAGCTCTTCTAAATAATGGTGTATGAACATTCATGTATAAATTTTTGTTTGGACCTATATTTTCAGTTTTCTCAGACACATTCCTGGGACTAGAACTGCTGCATCAGATGGTAGCTCTATTTAATGGTTTGAAAAACAGCCAGACTCTTTTCCAAAGTGGCTGTGCCATTTTACATTCTTACCAGCAATGTATAAAACTTCCAATTTCCCCACATCCTTGCCATTTCTTGTTGTTATCTTTTTGATTATAGCTTTCCTAGTGAGTATGAAGTGAAATGTTATTGTGACTGCTGCTTCACATTTTTTTATTATCAAAATTTTTGAACATGCAAAATATATACAATTATTTTCTTTCTTTTGGGGGGAGTAATTTAAAATCAATCCCAGATACTGTCTTGTCTTACCCATAAGTACATCAGTGTACATATTTAACAGGTAATACTTAAAAAAATTTAACAATGCTGTTAACACAGTGAACTTACCAGATAATTTACTAAGCACTGTTGTAGGTGCTTGGTACACTTAGGTGAAGATCCCTGTCCTCATGGTTCAGAGAAGAGATAGACAATAAGCAGGGCCTCTCTGGTGGCGCAAGGAAGGGGTTAGGCACCACACTGTGAAGCAATCTGCAGCCCCTGTAGCACGAGTTTGATCCCCAGCCGGCCAGGGAGAAACCCACATGATGCAGCAGACCTCTCCTGTCTCTCCCGCCATTCCACTCAGCAGTGTATTTCAGACAGCCTGCCTGTTCTGTTCCCCACTCTGTCTCTGGTGGATCCTCTCACCCTCCGCATCTCTGGACTGTACCCCAGTTCTTGTATGCATAAATAAATCTTTAAAAAAAAGATAGACAATAAGCAGAAAACACAACAAATATAGTATTAGAACATGAAAAGTGTTGTCTGGGGGAAAACCTACTTTCTCATGCAGGTTTTATACTCTTCTTAGATTTATTTCCAACTCTTATGAATGGTATATATAAAAATTACACTTTCCAATAGGTCATGGCTGTCGTAAGGCAGTGCTTTGCTGCTCATTTTTAAACTTTGATCTTATGCAGAAACTCTCAATAGTTCTAATTTAGAGATTCTTAGATATTTCCATGTAACCTAGTTTTGCATCTTTGAATGATAGTTTTTTTAATCTCTTTCCATCCTTATGTTTTTTTAAGTGTTTGAATTTTTTATACATATATTTTTATTAACAGACTACTTTTAGAGTAGCTATGGTTTTGCAGAAATATTGAGGAGATAGTAGATAGCAGGGAGTTTCTATTGATATATAACTGCTTTCCTGTCTCCTGATAGTTTCTCCTGTTATTAACACCTTAAATATATGGTACATAAATAATGTTAAATTGGCTTTTAACATTACTAAATTATATTTAATATTTATTAAGTGTAAGGTACATTCGTTACAAGTAATGAACCAATATTGATGTCTTATTAACTTTGAGGTTAATATTTTTTATTATAATAATTTCATTACTTTATCAACTAAAAAGTAGAAGTCCATAGTTTTCCAGATTTTCTTAGTTTTTGTTTTTACCTTATGCCTTTTTTTCTGTTTCAGGATTTCATCCAGAAGTGTGTTAAATTTAGTTGTCATGTGTTCTTAGGCTTCTCGGGCTTGAAATTTTCTTAGACTTTGCTTGTTTTCTTTTTTCCAAAAATTTTTTTTTTTAAGATTTACTTATTGATGCATACAAGAACTGGGGTACAGGCCAGAGGTGTCGGGGGATGGGGTTGGTGAGAGGATTCACCAGAGACAGAGTGGGGAACAGAACAGGCAGATTGACTGAAATACACTGCTGAGGGGAGTAGCAGCGAGTCAGGAGAGGTCTGCTGCGCTGTGTGGGTAGCTCCCTGGCTGGGGATCAAACTCGTGCTACAGTGGCTGCCAATAGCTTCATAGGTTGTGTCTTAACCCCTTGCGCCATCAAGGAGGCCCTTTTTTCCAAATTTATTGAGGTAGATACCTAGGAGTAGAATTGGTGGGTCATATGGTAGCTCTATTTTTAATATTTTGAGGACCCTTCATGCTAATTTCCAAAGAGGCTGAATTAGTCTACATTCCTATCAACAGCATGCAAAGGTTCCTCCCGCCCCCACATCCTCACCAACACTTGTTTTGGTCTTTTTGATGTGGGCCATGCTCAAGGGTGTATGATGTTGTCTCATTATGGTTTTGGTTTGCATTTCCCTGATTATGAGTGATAAGTGATGACGAGCAGTTTTTCATGTGGCTGTTGACCATCTGTATGTCTAACCCCCTGCTGAAAAGTCTGTGTGTGTGTGGGGCCTCCCCAGTGGTACAGCGGGTTGAGCGCAGCCCTGTGAAGCTGTCCTCAGCCTCAGCAGCACTGGTTCGATTCCCGCCCCGCAAGGGAGAATCCCACATGGCCTGGCAGACGTCTCCTGTCTGGCTCGCTGCTCCCCTCAGCAGTGTATTTCAGTCAGTCTGCCTGTTCTGTTCCCTGCTCTGTCTCTGGTGAATTCTCTCTGGTGAATTCTCCTGTGCCTCTGGCCTGTACCCAAGAGCTTGTATAAATAAATAAAATCTTAAAAAAACAAAAAAAGTCTACGTGTATGATATAATTGTTAGTGTTGAATTTTCCTTTAAAATGGTGCTAGACAGGTGCCTATGCTTGCAGCTTCTTTGTGAGCACAGGCCAGAGGTTGCACACAGACAAGAGAGGGAGTGGCGGGCATTCCCCCCTAATTCTGCTAAGCCAGCAGTTTAGAAGCTTCCTGCTGAAAAGTCTGTATGCCATGCCCCATGGCAGCCCTGAACAAGCCACTAAGTAGACAAAGTTCACTGTGGTCTCCTGAGGGCTCCCTGAAAGTGTAGGCTGGAGGTTGTGTTTTCCCTGGCTCGCCAGGGTACAGACACTCCGAAGAGCTCAGAGACCACACAGGGGTTTACCATATCTGTCTGTTGCTGAACCTAGTGTCTGGTCATCTGGGTACCTTTCGTTGAACTGTTG